ACTGCCTTCCCACACCCCAGAGGGATGATACAAAGGCTTCTCTCCTGCTTCACAGGAAGTCCCACCATTAAGCTACGACACCCGAGTCGCATTCCCACAGTGCTTTGTCAGCAGCTATTGCTACCAGAGGTGATAAGCAGTGACCACAGCTGACTCCTCAGAGGAATTCCGGTGGATCCGAGAGAGGGGATGTGCTGCTCGGGCCAGGCCAGTTCTGCTTCTGCACGTGTCCACAGCTCTTGGCAGCTGGGGAACTTAAAACAGAAGACGGCGTAAGTTTAGATGGCACGCGAGTGCAGCACTGCACTGGTCACGATCTGGGCACAGACACTTGGGTTCTGCCCACACCCTGCAGGAGGTACGCACTTCATCGGGCTGCACCCTTAGGTGTTGCTTCTAGCAACGTGTTCATGTATGTCCGCACATATGGTTAGATCGTGAAAGCACGATCCACGTAAGCGAGGTTTCTGAAGAAGGGTAACTTGTCCACGGCTGACGCCTACTGAAGCACAGACAGCCGCGGCTACCGCCTCAGAACACCGGTGTCTCCTTGCACAACTACGGGGGTTTAACGCTGGTGTGCCGAAGGATCCCTGCAAAAGAGAAGGCAGAGCTCGCTCTGACAAACAGCAAATACAGCAGCCTAGCGGAAAGGTGGTCTGACACACGGTTATTCCTAGAAAGACACGGAGCTAGCGGCTCCTTTTCCCTGGGGGACTGGTATCTACACTGGCTTCCTTCAACACCTGATGAAGTCCTTCTGCCGCAGGGACGGCTGACGTCAGACGACACCGTTTTGCACAAGCAACAGTCACTTCACAGCAAAGTAAAGCCAGGGCAAAATACAGGAAACTAACCCACATAACCCTCACCAAAATAATTCTGAAAGCAGCAAGGCAGGGGGATTCCCCCCTACTATTTTCACGAGTTAGATGGAACGTTTAGTCTGAATGAACCAAAGGAGGAGGAAATAGAATTTGCTCAAAGTTGCTGGGGTTGGGGTCTGGTGAGACTGAATTCCCAGGGGGTATGAGTGCCGATGCAACGTTACCATCACCCATGACAGGTGAGAAAAGGCTGGATGAAATGCTTCTGCCCCAGTGATAAAGGAAACTGTGGGACTCGGAGGTTTTCAAAAGGCAGGATGGCTCACAGCTGCCCTCAGGTTAGTGTGATCTTTGCTACAGCTGAGCAATAGGTTTTTTTAAAGGAACAGTTATCGACTGTCTTTGGAAGCTGTTCAGATTAGTTAAGATTAACCAAAATAAAACCCAAAACAACAACAAAAGAAGCCAAAAAAACTCAGACCATGATTTTATTTTTTGTCAGTGACAGACGTGTGCCTCTTGTCAGCCAGGTATGGAAAAAACCCCAAACCCAAGCGATGAGATCCCTTAACTGAGAGGTAAGAGGGGCTGCTAATTGAGTGTGTGATGCCCTGGGCTACACTTGGGAAGGAGGTGTTCCACTGAAGGGGACTGTACCTATTAAACTGAAAAACAGCATTTATCTTCCAAAAAAAAAAAAAATCATTATCCTTTTCAGCGGGGTACATTCTTGTTTCTGATGTGACCAGCAGCCTTACTGAAAGGACAGCTCAGGGATAAGAACAGAAACACTGCTTCCAAGAACCTTGGTTTTCTTAGCTGCTCCTTTGGTCCTGCTACGCCCAACCTCTGCCAGGCAGTCTCACCCCCTTTCTAACCCTGCAATGGCCTTACCCTTGGAGCCAGCATGTTTCAGGCACTGCCTCTGGAAAAGGGCACAGCTGGCTTTCGTTAGCAGCTTGGTGCTCTGTGGCAGGCGGCCCCACATCAGGGGTGTCACGCGGTGAGAGCCGAGACACCGCCGGAGGCACCAACCGCTATGGACGTAGGCGGCCTCTGTTCCTTTCCCTCTTCACGTGACTGGGAACTGTGCAGAGCCAACATCCTTAACTGTTGCAAGGCCAGCAGGCAAGACTGCAACGTGTCACTTTCCTCGCCAAAGGAGACACTCCAAAAGCTGCTGCAGCACATGGTTACTGTGTGGTTTCTTAAGCCTGAGGACTTTTGTTTAATTCTGATGAAGAACTTTTGCTATCAAAACATATTTTATTCTTAACAGGGTAGTCTGAATGCTATAGGTATGCCTGATTAACATTTCCATTTTCCCTTGCAGTCACAAAAAGTCGTTTCATCTTGGTTCATCATTGGTCAGACGCCAGAAAATTTTACGTCAAGATTTTTTGAAAAACTGATTTTTACAAAAAGAGACATTTCTGACCGAAGAAAAATCCCTGCTAAAATGAGCAAGCGGTCCAATGTGAAATATATTTCAAATCTGGTTTGGCACAAAAATTCTGTGGTTAACTGAGTTAGGAAAAATAGGATCTTTTCTTATGCGCAGTGGAGCAGATGGTGTTAAAATTCCTCTTCAGCTTGTCTGGAGCGAGAGCATTTCAGTTCCAGCAGCCTCTCCACAGTGTCCGCAATTGTACGCTCACCATGCACCTTGTTGTCTCGTGTACGGATGTTAACTGTTCCACTTGCCTTCTCCTTTTCACCCACAACTAGAAACAACCAAGACACAAAGGAATGAACTTAGCACTTAGCGAGGTCTCTTTTCCCCACACTAAAACTCAGGCATACTAAACAAAAATTCTAAAAAGCTTACCAACCAACACATCAAATCCTTCTTTGTCCTCCTCCCAGTTCCCCCCCCCACTTAGATCTGTAACAGCCTTTTTAATCTCAGAGCATTAATATCCTTTAGGATATTATGAACAGCAACTTAGCAAAATATGAGTAAAGAGAAAAGCAAACCAGAAAGTCCAGCTTGAATCATACACGTAAAAAGTTTCGTTCTTTAAAAGAACAAAAATTCACGATTCTATCAATTAATCTGAGGGTAAAGTTTCTCTGTCAAAGGCTCCTTCTACTCTAATGGATCCCAGATAGCTTTAGGGTCAATGCTAGAGCCTCAATTTACGTGACATGACTAATGTGGTGCTTCAAATCACCTACCTCAGGGTTAGTTTCTAAGTCTCCCCCTTGTGAAAAGAGTTTTCTGCTGTGCGTGTATATACCTCAGAAGTGCACCGCAGCTGCATGCAGTGAAAATAGGATACTTCTTTGGCTGCTCTTAAAAACAGCATATAAATTATTGAGGGTGGATGGAAAAAAATAGTCTAACGATCTGACTGACAAAAGGCAAGAGATTTTATATAAGTTTCCACACTGCTGACCAGAAGGCAGCACAGACCCTTTCCTAATGCAGCACTAATGCCTTGGGCCACAGGTACTGTGGAGCGAGTCCAGAGGAGGCCACCTCTTGGTGGCATCTGAGGGCTGGAGCACCTCTGCTACGGGGACAGGCTGAGAGAGTTGGGGGTCTTCAGCCTGGAGAAGAGAAGGCTCCGGGGAGACCTTATAGCACCTTCCAGTGCCTGAAGGGGCTACAAGGAAGCTGGGGGGGACTTTTTACAAGGGTCTGTAGTGACAGGACAAGGGGGAATGGGTTTAAATTGGAAGTGGGGAGATTTATATTAGATATCAGGAAGAAGTTCTTTCACGGAGAGGGTGATGAGGCACTGGAACAGGTTGCCCAGAGAAGCTGTGGAGGCCCCATCCCTGGAAGTGTTCAAGGCCAGGCTGGATGAGGCTTTAAGCAGCCTGACCTAGTGGAAGGTGTCCCTGCCCATGGCAGGGGGGGTGGAACTAGATGGGCTTTAAGGTCCCTTCCAAACCAAACCATGTTGTGATTTCAGTGAAGCTATACATACTAGGAATGCCTGTGATGTAGGCAGGAGATGCTCTCTGGAATGGAGACTCTTAGAAACAGTGTGACCTAAACCACTGACTACCACTCTGCCTTGCTCACAGAAGAATTATCAAATCCTATAACCTATGAAAGAAAGCGAGCCAGGATAAAGTAACAGATGTGCCACACATTACCCAGAATAAAGTTATACTGTGCAAGCTGAGCATTTCTGATCTTCTTGTTCAGTGTGCACCCGGGATCAACATCGACATCTGCCATTAATCCAGCATCGTGGAAATGCTGCCTGACCTGGGAGAAAAAGTATTTGAACTGTCACTATAAGATATTAATGACAATGAACTACTTATGACTTGTAGACTTAAGCCAGTTTAGCTTATCTGACCCCTTAAGCAAAGGCACAGTCATTGGCTCAGGCGCTGGAGATGAGTCCAGTTCAAGGTGCGAAAACAGGTCCGCTATTGTGCAAGTACTTATATGTTAAATAACTGAGCAGTGATGTGAATATCCAATGTTTTGGGCTGAATAAGGAGTTGAGTTTGATACTGTGAAAGGCAGCAGGATGGTGGAGCTTTCTAATGAGAAGATTTTTTTTTTTTTAATTTTGCAGACTATTTTATTTATGTGTAGGGTGCTTGAAAGAAAAACAGTAGGTGGTCTGCTGGATACCAAATACGCAAAGAACCATTTTCGTCTTTCCTCCTGCTTCTGCAAGATGCACATGGCCATGGGAGACTAGGACCTGACAGGTACAACAGCTTTTGAGCTAGACAGAAAAACCTAAATTTTCCAAAAATAAGAGCCTCACAAATACCAGCTTTTGTTGTTTAGATACCCAAAATCTGTTTCAGGTCCCCTTTAACATACAACTTCAGCAGCTAATTGTCACTGTAATATAAAAATCATACATTGTAATATGCAAAGACTTATAAAATTTATCTGGGATAGACACTACCAATCATTTATAACCAAGTATCTCAATTAAATACAATCTACCAAAAAAAAAAAAAGCCCACAGACCAATATACATCACCTTTTGAGCATACTCATCACACGTTGGTCCCACTGGTACCACCATTACCTGCTGTGGGGACAGCCAGAGTGGCCTTCAATAAACAAACAAAACAAGTTTATAGCTTTCAGTGGGTTTTTTTAGTATGAAAAACCCTATTAACAGATAGGACTAAAATATACGCAAGAGATTCATAATGCCAACTGCTTAGACTGGGTTCAGAGGCAATGACAGTCCTATACTTGTTAAAATTTATCTCCCAAAAAGAACTGAACGTCTGAAAGAACTGCAGTGTGGACAAAAGTACTTTTTGACCTGAAGATCCAAGTTGTGTTTTACAACAGAGAACAAACCTTAACCGAGGACTTGTGCTTATTACTAACTAACCATGGGAAAACTGGTGAGTCTTGTTATAACCAGAGGGGTCATCCCCATCAGGTATTACACTGCAGCAGATAACGGAGGTGACCTACATAAATGAGTCACTGCAAGGCAGCTCAGCTGCAGGAGTGAAGTTGAGAGATACCCACGGTGGGCAGACAAGCTGCACGTTCCACGTGCATGAGTGGTATCACGCAGAGGCTGCCATATTTAGAATTATTTAATATTTAAGGAAGGTGGTTCCAGAGGAATTGCCCCGTGGCACATCTCTGTAACATGAACAAACTGTCTTGATGCTTGCAAGCTTGGGGCTAATTTCTCTTCTAGATGAAGTGTTTACTCAAACTGCAATAAATCAACTTTTCAACGTTACCATTTCCCTCCATAGTTTTCAGTCAGAATGGCGATCATTCTCTCCACAGATCCCAAGATAGCCCGGTGAATAATAACTGGTCTTGTCTTGTCATTACCATCATGGCTGTGAAGAAAGGTGGGTTGTTTTAAACATAAGGTTTTTTCCCTTGACGTAAACTTATGCCACCAGCCTCTGTGCTTACCTGACAAAGGTGAGGTTAAATCTGACTGGCAGTTGGAAGTCGAGCTGGATTGTAGCACACTGGTGGTAGCGGCCAATGGCATCTTTAATCTGAATGTCAATCTTAGAAACAAAAAGATGCAAACTTTTACTGCAGTTCAGGATACAAGCATGCCACTCTGAAAGCAAGCTCACTGTTTTAAGATGAAACGTTTCACTCAAAGAAATTATCTGTGGATTTAGACCACCAACATACTTTTACTTCAGCCTACATTAGGACTTAAATGATTTGCAGGTTCTGATGCAAAAAATCTTGGGGCTAAGAACAGGGTGAGCGAGCACAGAGACATTACTTCAGGTGGAACTACACTTAATTGTTTGAGTTTCAGTCTGGGGCTTTCATGAGCCTTTTCCCTGAGTGAATCCAGCAGCACAGAGCTATAAGTGCAAGATCAGAAGTGAACGTGTCTCGCCAAAAAATGACATTTCTTTAACCTCAAACTGACAAACTTACACTCCATTATTCGGCAGTATTTCAATACTGTGTAGCTTGTGTTACAAATTCAGGGCATGGACGTGGGAAGAGAATCCTGCTGTTAAATAGCCCACTTACCAGTAGGGATCGTATTAATCAATGACACTTGTACAGCCAGGCCTATTCTTTCTATTGCATCTTACACTTCAATCCTGAGTACACTTATAATACAAATTAGACAGAGAGACAGATATAAAACAGTGGATTTATAGTGTCATGACCTTATTTATTTATCGCACTGTGCTCTTGTTCATCTTTTTACCAGTATGGCTACGTGCCGGGGCTGTGTGCCTTATTTTAATTTATGTATCGAATAAACAGATCAGTTTTATTAACTGAAGTACCACATGGCTTTCAGTTTGGCATTCAGAAGCCAGAGTTTAGAAGTTCAGCTATTCATCAAAGAGGTTCTATCAAAATAAATTATTTACCACCTTTTTATTTTCAAATCACTCAGTTAACAGAATAGAAAAAAAAGAAATCCAAGTAGTTTAAAGGTACTCTAGGTGTAGGGCTTAACTTAGAAATGTAACTGTAAAGAGTGTTCATTAAAACCAGTGCAAAACGCTACATGTTTGCTCAACTTACTTTGGCTACAGTGTGTTAGGAGCAAGTATAAGGTTAATTAAGATTAACAAAGGTTCCTGTAGATATTTGCCTTCTTTCCAATCAACTGAGGAAATAACTCAAGGTTGTTTGCATTTTGTATTATGAATGATTAGCTGCTATAACACATTTCACCTACAACCCATAAAATGAAATTGATTCAATTAGCGTACAAAGAGAGAAATCCAAAGCAGCGTACTAGATGGCTGAATATAGACATAAATGTAGTGTAATTTTTTTTTACAAGTAATTTTGTAAGGATGTCTGTCCTTATGCTCAGTGATATCAAGAAATTACTAGAAAACGCTACTTATGTGTACAAACTGAAGAGAGAGCTTTAAAAAAACCCAAGAAAACCACAAAAACAATGCAAGGCGCTTTTTTGAAATACCAAAACTGACCAGCAACTCAACGCAGCGACAAAACAGCACCAGTAAAAGAAGTATTTGTCAAAAACTTGTTTACCAGTAAGTTGGGTATTTTCTTCTCATGACTTACGATTCACTTAATGCCAAAAGGATTATTTCTAATGCAGCAACTGCTCTGGTAACAAAGATCTTACAGTGCCACCTTCTGTTCATGTCTGCCACTAAACCAATCAGATCTGTTTAAGCAGCATTTTATACATGTGAGCTGGGTTTAGTTAAGGAAATCACTGTTAAAGCTATGTGAAAACCAGGATCACAGAGTATTATGTCTCTCTCAAGAACAGCAGAGGTTATGTATCTGAAACCCCACAAAATTTTACCCAGACAGCATCTCAAAATAGTATTAGATACCTATTAAAAAAAAAATCCCCTCTTCCTAATCCCAGTTTTTAACCATTTCAGTTTGTAGCAGATCATCAGTTTAAGAAACAGTTTTGTTGTGTATCCTCCAGCCAAACCTAAACAGCACCAATGCTTCAGAAATGCATACTGACACTGGAAAATTCAGTTATAACCTTACATTAGAAGGGAATGTGCAGGAACAAGAGTCGAAAATAGAAGTTGTCTTTACCAAGAAGGTCGTGAATAAAACCCAAGAGCATCACCATACTGCTTTCTCCTTTGTGCTCATAAGATATGAAGAACATTCTTCATGTGCTAACAGCATTTACTGTCCATCTGTATTTGCTTAATTAACTCTGAGCAGAACTTTAACTAGATGGAGACTGTTGGTCAGGTATCTATTTGAAGTCATCTGGCAAGCATTTTGCAGCAACAGATGCCCAACACTTAGTCTTTCTGGAGAAAGCGATATTCAGCATCATTTTGTAAACACATGAAGACTTTGGGTCTTTTGCTGCTCCTATACTGCAAATAACGGTACTTGCATGCTACCCCTACTGTCAAGATCACGGTAGCATCCACGGAAAGCAATGAATTGTATAACTTTAGTCTGCCTCATCCAAACAGAATTAAAAGCCTAACCCAGCTAAGGGTTAGAAACATACTGACCTTAGGTCCATAGAAAGCTCCATCGCCAGGGTTCAACTCCCACTTCTCACCGAAGTCATTAAGGCTGTTCTCAAGTTGCTAAAGACAAAGGACACACAGACTCAAATGTTTCTCAGCCATTCCCTGCCTTTCCATGTTACAGCATCAGGTCAGCCTGCTGCTACAGAGTGTGACACTACCAAATTCTCAGTACTTCTCAGTTACTGGTCCAGCTCATTTGTTTTCTGAAAAAGTAAAGTCCTTTCTTCTCTCCAGCACTGCACCTGCAGGGGCTGCACACGCAGGGGCTAACCCTTTCATCATGGAAGAAACCTCACTTTTGGACGATGGCTCTAAGTCTTATTAGGGGTGTGTCAGAATTGGTTCTCTTCCTTTTTTTTTTTTAATTATCAAAAATTACAAGAGGTAATTTTACTCTGACATGGAGATTGCTTCTGTACAAAAGAGTATGCTATTTACATCAGCCAGACTGAAGACAGTTATTATATTGCTCATATCCAGCTGTCACGGTATCGCTCAGGAAGCAGGATCTTCCTGCAGGACTTCCAGCTGCAGCCTTGCTTGCATTTAAAAAGTTAATGAGACTACTGTTTACCTTTTCAGCCTGATTCCACACTTCAATATCTCCCAGGTACTTTTCAGGACGAGTAGAGAGATTCAGTTTAAAGGAAAATCCAAAGACATCATACACAGTACGCAAGAACTGCAGACAACTCTTTATCTCCTCTTCAATCTTTATGAGAAAAGAAATAAAGTCTCAAAGACGGAAAAAAATCAGTTAACTTGACTTTAATACCCAGTTTCATTTAACAGCAGCCCATACCTGCTCCATAGCACAGAATATGTGAGCATCATCCTGCTGGAACCGGCGTACGCGAGTGAGTCCTGTAAGAGCTCCTGACAGCTCGTTGCGATGCAGAACACCAAAATCTGCCAACCGTAATGGCAGCTCACGCCATGATCTTGGACGATGATCAAACATAAGGCTGAAAGAAAAATGTATTACTTGAAGCTCATCCGGAATCAAAATTCTGCAAAGAACAGCCAACAAGAAGCAGCCAGTACCTAAGCAGACGCTCTGAACACAAGTATCATTCCTGTCTAGCTTTGTCAGGAAAACAAATGCAGATACCCTTTCATAGCTGGTAGGCTGCCTCCACCACACAGAGAGAAGATAAAACAGCTCCTAAAACTGAGAATTAAAACCTGAATGCCTACATTGACACAAAACTGACAATGCCTCGGTACCCGTGTTGGATATCCAGGTTTTGTAGTACCAAGGTAAGCTTCAGGTTTAACACACAGTCACTGTACTGGTGGGAAAATGACATTTCTCAATGTCTCAAGTACAGAGAGCACGCAGACAACAAGAACCATAATTACATCACTCCTGACAGCATGTCACCTCCAGATACCTGAAGACAGCTATCTTTTCAATTAAGCAGGCAAAGAAACAGGCTTTTTTTTTGGGAATCAGCATCATCTTTGGTAAACCGGATTTGTTATGTATTTACCAGTGTCCTGGACAGTTCATCGGCTTCAGAGCAAAGATTTCTTTCTCCACTTCAAAGGAAAACATGTTGTCACTGTAATGCTGCCAGTGCCCTGAAGTCATCCATAGCTTGCTGTTGAAAACATTTGGAGTGACAACCTCCTGGAATCCACGTTTTCGATACTCACCCTAAAACAACAGACCCAGTATGTAAAATAACTAAAAGAGCAAACGAAAGGAATGGCACTTAACCTCCAATCTGCGGCAACACAAATATAAAAATACTGCCTTACAAGTCCATGAGGAGAGAGGAGGGGAAGAGGAGTTAGACATGCCAGGATACATGCCTTCCGCCAGCACCACCCTCCCCCAAATAATTTCCTCTGTAGTAAGCAAGAAGAACAAGTTTCCTCCCTGCAAGCAAAGCAGCAGTCTCTAATGATTCAATGACACTTAGTAGCACATTGCAGCCCAAGTATTACAACAGGAAGATGAGCATTTTTTTTCCCGACACATAATTTCCTAACAAATAGTTCTACAAGGCCAAATTCAGTAAATGCTTAACTGTATCATTAGATGTCAAAGAATTCATATTCTAAAGCATCATGATAACTGCATTCACTGCAGGTATAAAGTAGTGATAAAAACATAATTCAGCAGAGACTGTGACAAGACAAATGCAAAGAAACCAGGTTTCTTTAGTTCCACGGCTTACAGAACTAGGAAATTAAACTAACTTGAAATGAAGGGCTGTTAATATCATTCTATGTAGCATGCTGTTACCTATTTTTCTAAAATTAAGCAATTTCTTCTGTAAGATTTCCAAAAGACATTACTTACCCGGATGAATTCAATTAATGTGTTATAAATGTAAGCTCCTTTAGGCAAGAAAAAACAGCTACCAGGGCTGAGCTCATGGAAGAAAAAGAGTTCTTGGTCCTGCAGAAAAGATTGAAAAACTTAGTATTTGTACACCAGCTTTTTGACTGCACATTCACAAATTAATTACTACTGACTGGGCATCACTCAAAGTTTTTGGTGGGGTTTTCTTTTGTTTGCTTGTTTTGTTTTGGGTGTTTGTTTGTTTTTTAATTATTAAAAAAAAAAGGCCAATAGATCAGATGCATTTTCACAAGTATTTATATGTCCGTCAGTATTTATAGGGGAAGGAGGGTGTGCGGTTTCCCGCTTCACTACTGAAAACTTCACATTTATGTGAAACTCCGAACCAGGCCCACACAGCTCCCACTGTACACCGACAAGCAATGTTTAGCTCTGCTTCTGCAGCTCTCTAGTTATTTGCACACGAACTGACGTGTGAAGTGTAGTTAGTAATGTTGTGACAAACTCTGCACATGGTTGAGGACTGCACATGGTGAAATACTCTATGTATTCTCATGTCCCAGCAGCACACCTTGTAGCAGCGTTCAGGACTATCAGTTATTTTTCCACTGTAAAAACAAAACCAAAAAAACATGGAGATGTATTATGGACTCTTAAATCACACAGAAGAAAAGAACTGTGGGCGAACAGGCTGCAGCAAACTTCATTAGAATGAGCACTGCGTGCAGACCAAAATGTTCATGTTTCGCAGACCAAAGTGTTCACACTCTGTTCTGACTGATATGTGGAATAACGATGTCATCGTGTTTAAAACAGAAAAAAGTCTAAAGAGAAGTTACTTGCTTTAGAACTTTAGATGCTCTTTGAGAGAAAAACACCTGACTTTGCAACTCAACTGAACATCCTGGTTGTGGCAGCAAGTATATGCCATCTTCAAGATGGTTCAAGTTAAGGGGTCGCATCCACACAGTGTTTGTGAAACACGCAACCAGAAAAGCCATCTCACCCGCCCAATTTTTCTGTGATCTCTGCTTTTAGCCTCTTCCTGGAACTTCTCCCATTCCTTCAGCATTTTTCCATCTGGGAATGAAATTCCATAGATGCGCTGGAGGGATTCCATATCAGCCTTGCCTTCCCAATAGGTAGATGAATTCTGCAAGGAAAAAAAAAAAAAAAATCAGTGAAGCAATGAAGAAAAGGAGGAGACCCCACATTTTACTACTACTGCCTGCTATAAAAAGGCATGCAATTATCAGTAAGTTACTATAATGTAGAACAACTAAGGCATAAGGAGAGTTCTAATCTTAAAATTCAGAGCACTGATTAGAAAATCCAGAATGAACAGGTGAGGATAATATGTAAAAATGGTTTCAAGCTCTCTGTTGTCATTTTTTTAGAGCCTATTTGCTCTCTCCATACCATCCTCTTCCAACTGTTTACTGACACTCAGCTATAACCATCAGCTGAGCAAAAACTATAGCTGATACAGTTCAACCAAGCCATAAGCCACACTTACATCCCTGCCTGTGCTGGAAGTGCAGGCCCTGGACACCTAGTTGGGTTTCTTAGCATCTGAATATCACACAACCTTTCCCCAATTTGTTATGCTGAGTTTTCGGCCAGGTTACCCATTCTGTGATACATTCTTGCATAAGTCACCATCATACTGCCCGCACACAGCAACACATTTTCAGTGAAATCATTCTTCTAAGGCACTTACCTTATGAATTTTTATGGTCTTTATCTTGCCAGTATGTCTGACATGAGGGCCTCTGCATAAATCTATCAAGGGACCACACCTAAGAATAGGAAAACACTCATTAGATGTATTTCATCCTAGGAAAGAAGTTATATCCAGTAATATTATGAGGCATGCGTAACTACCTGTACACGGTTGTAGTTGGAGTATTGACCTTCTCATTCAGGATGCGACACTTGAATTTATTATACTGAGAAGAAAAACAGCACATGTATTTGTTAACTCCTTGTTAAGCAAGAGAACAGGCAGTTTAAATTACTTGCAAATCCAATGCAGGTTTTGATGAGTTCTGAAGCCCAACTGGACAAGCCCTGAGAAACCTGGTCTGAATTCAGTGCTGACCCCATGACCTGTGCATGAGATTGGAAGGTACCTCCACACACCTCCAGTCCAACCTGAATGACACTATGATCCTCCTGATGTCTTAACAGTGAAAACTGAGTAACTTTTATCTCAGAATACCAGGAAATTATTTGCATCTAGGTACTAAAGGGAAAAGATCAGCTTTTAGTGTTGCTTGGATTTTCTCAGTCTTCATTCTAAACAAATGTTTATGAGCTTTCTGAATGCATCAGCACATGCAGCTACACTATCACCACAATGTTTTCTAACAGCCAACATAACATAGGCATATAGCATAACTGCACAATATACTGTAAATTTACACCTGGAGGAAATAAATTAAGAATGTGGCTTCAAAGATTTTCCCAAAGTCACCCAGGGCAGGACTAAGAATTCTTACAATTGCAGAAAATGTAATGCATTGTGCTGGGTTTAGTCAGGACAGAGTTAATTTACTACACAGGAGACTGTAGGAGGCTGTTCTGGATTTGTGCTGAGAATCATACTGTTAACACTGCTGTTTTCAGTTGCTGCTAAGGAGCGTTTGTACCAGTTTAAGGACTTTTTTCCAATTTCTGATGCTGCACCTGTGTTCCCAACTTTCTCACTACAAGCAGTGTATGGGGGGACACAGTTCAGACAGCTGACACAAACTGACCAAAGCAGTATTTCATTTCACAGCACATCATGCTCAGTATAAAAGCAGGGTGTGGGCTGATGCCATAGGGTTTTTATTTAGCTCATTTGCAAGTGCATTTGTTCATGTATTTGTTAGTGAGTTGGTGTGTCACCTGGCTTTCTCAGTTGCTCCCTTGCTCAGACTCTGCTGCAAATGCTCTCTGGCTCTGACTCTAACTACACGGGACCTGACTGTGTATTGGTCAGC